ACATTTCAAGTAGTATTTGCCCGAGTAGCCAATGTAGAACACGTCACATATGGGACTACACTCATAAAAATACCTTCCTCATTTAGGAGGAAACCTAAAAGTATAACACCTACAGGGGTTGGAAAACTACCGGACACAGGCCAAATCTGGAGCATTGCCTATATTTTTAATGGATTGTAACTAAGAATGGTGTTCACATTTCAAATAATTCAAAGAAAAATAATTTTTCATGACACCTTAAAATGATACAAATTCAAAAGTCCGTGTCCACAAATAAAAGTTCTATTGGCATAGAGCCATGCTCATTTGTGTACATACTATGTATACAAGCAGTCTATGGCTGCTTTGGGACTACAACTGCAGACTTGAATATTTGTGACAGAAACCCTACAGCTATCAAAGCCTAAAATGTTTACTATCTGGTCCTGGTCGCTGACTCCTAGTCTACTATGAGCCAGGTACTGTGCTAGGGCTTTCACATAGTGCCTCCTCTAATTTTGTCAAATCCTTTAGTGGTATATTAGGTTATAGGGAACTGATGAAATTAGCTAATTGAGAACAATAACATGTTTTATTTATAAAATATTCCAATTATTCATGCAAAGGTACTTAGTCACCTTCGCTTATTGTTTTAGGATCCTATCCTTTCCCTGTTTAAACACTGCTATTCAATCCAAATGCTTACAGTACTAAAGCTAAATTTTCAGAATATAAAGCACTTTGCAAATACAACCTTTTAGTCACATCTCATCTCTCTTTTCCCCACCCTTCACCACTGAATTTCTCACTGTTCTCCCATTTTGTGCAGACACAAGCTGAAAGTGACACGCTGAAGAGATATTTAGCGTTCATTTCATTTAGGTCCCTTATCCACCTTTCCTTTCTATGCCTTTCTTCCTTCTTTACTTTCTTGATCTAATTGCCTACCATTATGAAATATAAAAAAGAATGAAGGGAGGGAGGGAAACTGCAAAACACACAGAGGTAATTTGGGGGGGTGGCATACCTCTTACCACTCTGGACCGCCTAATTGGTCAAATCCTCGAGAGCAGGGCCGATTTTTTTAAATGTCTTCAGCTTGTATTAGAGGTTCAGTGAATGGCCATTCAGTCATTGATTTTTTCCCCCTCCCCCTCTTCCTTTCCCTTGGGAAACCTGGAAAACTGAAAATCTTCCCATGGAAACTCCTCAGGGGCGCCCCAAGATCCAAGCTTCTTTACTTGGACTCGCCCGTGCTGCACCCTCACCCCCACCCCCTGCAAGTCCCTGGCGTCTCCAAGCACAAACTCAGCGCGGGATTCTTGATCTCCAGATCGCGCGCACTCGCGCGCGCGCTCTCCCTTTGGCCCCCTACCCTGCAGCAAGGGCAGCGTGACGTAATGCAACCTCAGCATGTCGGCGGCGATAAAAAGAAGGACTAGGCGGCGCGCCTCCCAGACGCAGAGTAGCTTGTGATTGGCTCGGGCTACGGAACCTCGGAAACCCGAATGTGAGGACCTTACAGATCCACAGCTGGCGACCCCCGCAGAAATCCGGAGCGCGGTCACAATCCAACGGCGGCGGTGGAGGAGCAGTGGCAGCAGGTAAGGAGACTCCTGAAGAGAAAGTAGAGGGATTTGGGTCCGCTGCGCTCAGTGTCGCTCCTGTGAGAGGAGAGGCTCACACCCAGCCTGTAGTGTAGGGCGAAGGGAACAATGGAAGGGGCGTCTAGTCCCTAAGCTTTGCCTCCCTCTCGGTCTGACAGTTTTTCTCCTCAGCCACAGCTGGTGACTGGAGGAATTGAGGGAAGTGAGTGTTTTCCCCCTCAGGCAACCTCTCCTTCTCCTAGGCCAGAGCCCCTAAGGTCTAGAGCCGTCGTTGAGACCGTCGGTGGTTTAGGGTAATGGGAAAATGGCGGAAAACAAAACGGTGAATTGAAGAATGCGGCGTCCCCCTGGCATTTTCTCCCGGCGACCCCCCCCATATTCCTTTCACTCTCGTCTCTCTTCCACCTCTCTGCCCCCCCCCCCCCCCCCCCCCCCCCCCCCCGCTTATGGTAACCTTGGAATGCGAGAGTTATGGTGGCATTTGCGAGGAGGTGGCACAGAATCGGGCATTTTAGGGAATAGGGAACAGCCAGAGCCTGGGGGCGGGGGGGGGGGGCGGGTGTGTGCGGCAGTTGTCGCCTCCGTTAAAACACCACCATTTTGGTTCCCAGCCGTCTCCCATGTAGCGGGGCAGAGAGAGCGGGAGGAGGATGAGGGGCTGGGCAGCACGGCGTGGGTAGCAGCGGTAGCGACCGCTGCACCAAGTGAGAGGAGGGAGGAGGGGAAAGGGTATTCTTGTCTCTTCGCCTCCTGCCTTTCCACGGAGAAGGTTCTCTTGTTTGACTTAAGATCCAGTCAGATGGGTAATATATAAGAGGGCACGTCTGTGCGTTCTGCTCGAAATGATTGGAACTTGGCATGGTCACGGGAAGGGAGACTTATGCGGGAAGCTGGTTGCGTCCAAAGCTGCAATACTGCTACTTGCCAGGGCTCCTTTGTTTCCTATCTGCAAATACTACTTTCGCATTCTCTTGCTCTGCTGCCTTAAGATTTCTCTTCTACCTCTCACCCTGTTTACATCATCAAGAAGCTAGGTCCTGAGTGAGCTGTTTGGAGGAGACAGATGAGAGTAAAATGTTTTTTGTTGTTGTTTGTTTTGTGATTTCTGCTCCCCGTACATTGATAGAAAGATGTTTACTTGAAGCGTACTTAGTGGTTAGCTCCATTCAATCAGGATGTAAGATACACTCTTGAGAATGTTGAGAAGCCCAGCTATCTATTGGCTATTGAATACTTAACACACTGCTGTACTCATACCTCATTTATTATTGATCTTATTTCAACGTCCTATATGGGAAAAGGTGCTCCAGTTTATTTATTGGGTATTCATACAGTATAATACTTACCACAGTAGTTACACTATGTGTTAAAATTTTTACACTTCTTTGAGCACTAGTGCAGATTTTTCTCTATCGATTGGGCAAGGATAAAGCTTGCCCTTGGTTGGTTGTCTTTCACTTTACAAAATAAGGTATAGCTAGTGATTTTTTAAATGTGCTTTAGAGAAAGAAGATTTTGGTTTAATGAAGTGGTCGAATTTCAATTGTAATAATGTTGTTAATACCGTAGTAGGTAGTTATTTCTGTTGGAATCCCTCCGGATGCTTTTTAGATGAACAGATTTGAGCATTTGAGCCGTTCTTTACCTCACTCTGCACGTTAAAGTGTAAAGAAAATTCTTAAGTTGTGTAAGAGATTTGGTTGAAAATGTTTTAAAATGTCTAATTTTGAATGTATTTTTACAATAGGTAAAGAGAACGCTTTTCCAAAGAAAATAACATAGTTCAGAAGGAAAAATAACAAAAACAAATTGCTGCAGATTTTATTTTACAATATGTAAGAAAATCTACAATTTCTTCAAGACAGTCATATTAAGGTGATTAACAATTTAATGTTTTATCTTATTTAATAATTAAAATTAAGTGTTTAAAACATATTAAGGCATTTGTAGTTCTATTAGTTATGTGATAAAGAAAACAATACTCTAAAGTTGATATAGTACACTGTTTTAAATGTTAAAATAAGTCCTTATGGCATTTTGATATACCTCTGTGAACATATGGATAGTTTATCATGAACTCTCTTGCCTCTGATGACTTCATTTTGGAGACAGAAAACAATGTGATATTTGAAAAATACAGAAGAGTTTCTAAAAATTTGTAATTTTGTTCATACATAAAGTGATTTTGTCCAATCAATTGATACACAGAAATGACACCTACTACTGTAGGATTTTTATCTGCACCATTCAAATGTTATACTCTTCTGCCTCCTACAGAACTTTAAGGCAAGGAAAAAATCTTGGTAATCTCCTTATTTAAGGATAGATTAAGTTGCTTTACATGGCAGCTTTCTAAAACTTTAATGATAATCTCATCTTTTGTGCAGTATAGCCTAATTTATTAAACACTCCTAAATAAAAATGAGACAAATGTTTTATAAAATTGACAGATTACTTTGGTTGATATACTTAGAATCTTATGTTTGAATGGGAAATACACCTATGTAATTGTAAGAAATAATGTTTAGTGATAGCATCCGACTTTAGGTTCCATGCTGTCTGTGGATCCTAAATATAGGATACATCACTTGAAGTGAAATAGATTGAATCCTTGCTTTCAAAACTAACATGAAGCTAACATGACTTTATTAATCACTAAGGAAAAAAATCAGTTGTAGAATTACAAGTAAATGATATTCTGAAAGGAACAATTTGCTAAATGTTTATATGTGATTGATCTTATCTCTACCATATTTAGGAAGCAGTCATGTTTCCATGAGTCCTCAAAACTATGTGACAAGAGAATGTAGTAGAGTGAGGCCAGAAGTCCTTACTGGCTCAAAGAACTCCAGGGAAACTGGGATAGAACATTTTACATTATAAGTAGAACCCCGGGAGCCAGAGGTGGAACACAAGTTTATCTGCAGAGCTCCGCTGCAGGGCTGATCTGGGTCTGGAAGAAATGGATGAGAGCCACGGAATGAAATTCACTAATACTAGACACCTGAGTCCTCTAGTAATGTATAAATATCCCAACTATTGTTTGTTGTCATCTTGTTCTTTTTCTTCTCTTATAACCTACATTTTAACTGTAATGTCAGTGCTACAGTTTTGTTCTTTTGCTTGCTTCTATCACTTCCCCTGTGGCTCCTCACCTTTACTGTGTCTTATTATCCATTTGATTTATTTCCTTTCATTTAGCCCTTCTTTTACTTATGTTTTTCACATAAAGCATCTAATTGAGGTTTATGGTTTGTTTTCTTTTCTTTTGTAATGAGATTTGCATACCTGGTTCTGAGGCATACTTTCCATTGCATTTTTTTTTTCTCAGAACAACTGACTTTGGCCTAAACATATTTAAACTATTTTAAAACCATTTCTTTTACAGAGATTTGTGAATGAACTTTGCTAAGTATGGATTCAGGTGGTGGAAGTCTTGGATTGCACACATCAGACTGTAGAATGGCCCATACCATGATTATGCAGGATTTTGGTAAAGCATTTTCTTTGTTATATTTTTTTTTTCTTTTTAAAATCAGAGCATATTAAATGTCAAAACTATGTTGAGGAAGGGGAGAATTTATCAAAAGTTGTTCTTTTGCTAGGAAAATCCATTTGTAGGGTTCATTTTCTTAAAGTAAAGCTATGTGTCAGTAGTCTGCTTAAAGTCATTCTTAAAATTTTGTGGGAAGGTTGAGGTAAGGAAACTTGGAATATAGTAATAATATGGCATTGAAAATGAAAAAATTCAGCTTACATAATTAACCACATTAGTTCTGAATATAGGGAATTTTAAATTGGTTTTCTAAAATACATTTTAAATTGCTTTTGTTAATAAAACTGGTAAAGGAACTACTTTAATCATTTCAAAGAAGTTAGATGCTTATATTGTGATATAGGAAAGTCATGCATTAGGTGGTTAATTATATTCTGATGCAGTATCTTCAGAAAGTTGTTTCTAATAGCATTACATTTTTCTTTTTTTAAAAAAGAAAAGATTCTCTGCTTTTGTGGCCAGGTTTTTCAGTAGCCTCTTAACAGTAGTTATTTTCATGAAGATGTTAAGACTGTATAACAGTCAACAAAGAAACTGAATTTGGGTAGGGTCAGTCTGAATTATAGAAGAGATTGAGGTATCTGAACTATTAGAGGCAAGGATAGAGTGGTAAGAATTGAGGAAAAGTGGAGTGAGAGTAGAAAAAACAAATAGTAAATTGGGATAAACAAAAAACACAAGGTATTGTGGAATTGTCAAAGAGGATATTAGGGATGGAGGATTACAACTAGTGATACTTTTCTCAATTAAGAAAATGTTACTACTGTTTTCACATTAATGTGGTTGAATATGTTATTTTCTCCCCTGTTGTAAAGCCCACAATGTTAAGAATCAGAAGAACTGGATTCTAGTCTTGGCTGTCCTATTAACTATCTGTGTAAACTTGGACAAATTACTTAATTCAGATTTGTGCGGGGATTGGACTAGATAACATTTAAGGTCTTCTCCAGTTCTGATTCCATGACACTTCTGTCTGATGAATAAAGATGTGGTGCACAGATCAAGATTGAATATGGTTGAGATCAAGATGACAATATAGTCAATTGATGAAGTAGAAAGCAATCATTGATTTATTCTGCTAAGTGAATCAGAAGTCAATTGTGTTGATTATGAATGACTTAGAAGTGATTTGGGTGTAAAAAGTACAGGAATAAATTCTACAAGAAGGACAAAGAATTCAAGAGTAAAGCTTCCACAACGAATGTTGTGAATTCTTTGCTTAGAGGTAGTTTTTTTAAAATACTGGAACACTTTAACTTCAGTATGTTAATAAGTTTTGGTTGAAATGTCACCTTTAATTTTTTGCCTTTTAAAAATAAGATATCTATCTTATGAGGCACCTGGGCGGCTCAGTCAATTAAGCCTCTGACTTCAGCTCAAGTCATGATCTCACGGTCCGTGAGTTCAAGCCCCGCATGAGGCTCTGTGCTGACAGCTTGGAACCTGGAGCCTGGAACCCGCTTCAGATTCTGTCCCCCGCTCTCTCTGCTCCTCCCCCACTCTCACTCTGTCTCTCTCTCTCTCTCTCAAAAATAAATAAACCTTTAAAAATTTTTAAAATAAGATACCTTAGAAATGGAAAAAATACAGTATTGTCTCCATATGATACAAAATTTAACCCACCCTGTAGCGTTTGGTGAACTTCCAGACCCCCCTCACTCCTGAAGAAGTTGCGTATTAGCAAGTAAAGCCTGATTCCTTTCAAAGATTGGGGAAAAAATGTCCATTTACTGCTGGTGAATATTTCCTTGATGCTCCTCTTACCTTCTTTTTCCTTGTTCTTCTTCAGTGTTTTAAGGTTTAATCAACCCCTTATTACATCTAATACTTTACTTCCTTTTAGTTGGTAGGGAAGTAGAACATGCATGTTGAAATACATTATATACATCCTTTTTTTTTTCTTATTGAGTTAATAATCCATATATCATACAGCCTACCCATTTTAAAGAATACAATTCAGTGGTTTTATTATACTCACAGAGTTGTACAAACATCACCACTACCTAATTTTAGAACATTTTGTCATTGAAGAAATAAAACCTAATACTCATTAGTGGTCACCCCCTACCCTGCTCCAGACCTAGGCAACCACTAATATTTCTATGGATTTACCTATTCCAGACATTTCACATAAATTGAATCATACCATATGTGGCCTTTTGTGTCTGGCTTCTTTCACTTAGCCTGGTTTTCAAGTTTCATCCATGTTGCAGCCTGTATCAGTTTCTCTTCAAATTGGGGCGCCTAGGTGGCTCAGTCGGTTAAGCGTCCGATGTCGGCTCAGGTCATGATCTTGCAGTTTGTGGGTTCGAGCCCCACATCAGGCTCCGTGCTGACAGCTCGGAGCCTGGAACCTGCTACGGATTCTGTGTCTCCCTATCTCTCTGCCCCTCCCCCGCTTGTGCTCTCTCTCTGTCTCTCAAAAATGAATAAATGTAAAAAAAAATTTAAATTTCTTCAACATAGAAACTTCGATATTTGGAATCCCTAAAATTAATGATCTTTGTGAAACAGAGTTGGCATACACAAGTAGAGCTAGTCAAGTAAACATACTGTGTCAGAGGATCTCTAAATTCTATAATGTTCTTGGTCAGGATGGGCTGGCTATTATATTAAGAACCCGAAACATTAATTCAGAAGCTTAGTAGGCCAGTTTCTTTTGAAGGATATTTGAGATTTTTAAATTTACAAAACAGTTTGTATAACTTTGCTTGTGTCTCGGTACAATGGTTCTCTTTGGAATCTGTTCCATTGAATTTAATAGTTAAGATTTTATTGATGCAAAAAGTATGTTGGTTGCTCAGTGATTTAAATAGCAAAACAGCCTTACATGTGGCCCAAGACAGACCCAACAAATACCAAATTTTATGCTATACCTTTGGTGAAGTTTCAGGTATTCACATTTAAATGAAATAACTTTAGTGAAATGGGAAATTCTTGAAATGATGACTTATTTCTTCTTGTTATTTGGTTACCTCATTGATTTCACACTTTTTAAATGATGATTTCTTACCATTTATAATTTGTTACCTAGTGAGATACATTTTTAATATCATTTAATGCTGCTTACTAAATGCTTTAAAATTTAATTGAGTGACTTTGTGATAGATCTTTTTACTCTCTCTCTCAAACTGTTCTTTTAATAGTGACTCACTTGGTTAACCCTATAAATCTCTTAAAAACAGTATGTAGAGTTAATAAACTCTATTCTCCTCCTGTAGACAGGTAGAAAACAGCCAGTCTAGGGTTAAACAATAAGCTCAGTCCTCAGCTTGAACCTTGGGCAAGTTTATTTAACTTCTCTAAACCATAGTTCTTTCATATTTAAAAAGGAGATAGTAATACATCATACAGTTGTTCTGAGGCTTAAATAAGATAATATTTATAAAAATATTAGTAGGTTGCTTGATGCATAGTCAGGAAGCAATAAATACAGCTAGTGCGTAGTTAAATAAGTGACTTTGTTTAGAAGTTTAATGAGATCTAACTAAGCAGATGAGAGGAAAACTAAGCAGATGAGCTTAACTAAGCTCATGAGATCTAACTAAGCAGATGAGCTGATGAGAGGAAAAAGCAAAATTTAATAGGGGACATCTTGGATCTTGGTCTGAGTAATATGTCAGCACCCTGTGGGAAACTTGTCAATTCTTGGTCTAGGATCCTTGATATTATTATTTAGTTCAGTGTGAACAAGCATATTTGGATTTATTTTAATGCTTACATCTGGTTTATTTTGACCTGTAAGTTCCTACTAGAGTAGAGGCTAGAATCTTCCCAGTCAGGTTAATCTGAACCCAGGCCAGCATTTGGTGTTATTCTGTCTTTCCATCATTCCCTAGTGTGTACTCTCAGGAACCAAACTAACCTCCAGAATTTTCCATATTTTAAGTCTGACTTGTGGAAGGATTTTATAAAATATTCATTTTATTGTTTATATACATAGAACTCCAATACTGTGAATTTTATAGGCTTAACATTTAATTTTTCCTTGTTAAAAACCACATTTCTAGTCTGGTTGAATGTTCGATTTGAACCTCCACCAACTCCCCATCTCCAAAATGGCTGGTGGAGTAACCAGTGAATAGAAAGTACTTGTTTTATACATACTCCCTTTGCTTACCAGATTTTCAAGATTGAAGCTCTCTCCTTTTGGGGTAATATGGTGGTTTAGGTAAGAGTTTGAGAATATTGAGGACAGTACAGAGGGGTAGAAAGGAAGATAATCCTGAGAGGTAGTTTTCCTTTCTCACTTTATCTTTTGATAGTGTACTGGTTTCCATATTAACTTGTTAACTAACTTCCATAATGAATTGGTTAATAATAGTGAACACTGTATAGCACTCTTTCAGGTATGACTTTATAGAAAGTGATCATTATGTGGAGAAGGCTTTGTATTAGATTATTTAATGTAGATAATTTTGTTATAACCTGGACTATAGACTCTATTAATTTGTTTCCTGTACACTTCAGTGAGGCAAAACTTAAGAGTTCTTCATGAAGTGATTTTATACTTTTATAATATTTGTAAAGAAGGTAGGAGTTGGTGCTCAAGAAAAACATTGTTCAAAGCTTTGTTCCTTTAGACTTACTGGTTTAGAACTTAGTGAAATTTAGAGTCCCTATGTATGAATTTTATCAAACCAAATCTTTGTCTACAGTGAGTTGGGTTTTTCCCCCCCAAATCAGGTGTTAAAAGATGCTTTGCACTTTTGAATATAGTAATTCTTATAAGATAAACAATTTTAGGGACTTTTATGCTTCTAATGCATATTTTATAATGTATTAAGCTTGCCATATTTTACAAACTTAATTTAACATTAGTACGCATTTATGTTTGTGTGTCCTTCTTATTTTGATTTTAATTTTGTTGAAATACTATACTTACAAGAAGTAGAAAAAATAGTACATAGAGTCCCATGTAGCTTGTACTCCTCCTCTTGGAATGGTGACATCTTATATAACTGTACTACAGTATCAAAAGTAGGAAGTTAACATTGGTGCATTACTGTTAACTAGACTAAAGACCTTCTGAAGTTATCACCATTATTTTTACATATATTTGTGTAAGTGTATATAGTTCTGTGTAGTTTTACCCTATATATAGATTTTTGTAAACACCACCACAATAAAGATCTAGAACTATTCCATTACCATATATATGCTATGCCAATATATTTACACACACCCTCACCTTTGGCAACTTTGAATCTGTTGTCTATCTCTATAATTTGTAATTTTGAGAATGTTACATTAATGATTCCATTTATACATTATGTAGTATCATAATCTTTAGTAATTTGCTTTAATTTTCCGGAGATTCATTCAGGTGTTGAATGTATCAATAGTCTGTCACCTTTTTTTACTGCTGAGTAGTATTCCATGATAGAGATGTGCCAGAGTTGGTTTTACCAACCATTTATCTGCTGGAAGTACAATTGGGTTGTTTTCTATTTTTTTGCAATTATGTGTAATAGCCACAATGACCTGTTATGAATTTTTATCTACAGTTTTTTGTGTAAACATATGTTTTAATATCTCTAGGGAAAATGCCCTAGAGTGTAAATGTTGGGTTTTATGGTAAATACATGTTCAGTTTTTTAAGAAACTGCCTTATATTTTCCAGAGTGGTTGCTACCATTTTACATTTCTGCCATCAATGTATGAGAGATCGTTTCTTTGTATCCTCACCAACCTGTGGTGTTATTGTTCTTTTATGTTAGCTGTTCTAATGTAGTGATATCTCATTGTGGCTTTTACGTTTTACTTGAAAATAAAGTGCATTGTTTTTAAGCTCTTAATTTAGATTTTACTAACATTGTTTTCACCTACCTCCACCCCAATTCCTGGTTGGTGATGTTTTGTGTTTTTGTTTTTATTTTTGTTTTTATTTTTTTTTACTTTTATGTAAGCTCTACACCCAATGTGGGGCTTGAACTCACAACCCCCAAGATGAAGAGTCACATGCTTTACCAACTGAGCCAGCCAAATGCGCCTGGTGATGGTTTTTATTGCATTTAAATTGTCAGTGATTTTTAAGATGATAGTTTGCATGGACTACTTCATATTTTGAAATGTTTTATGTCATCTGATATATTAAATATATTATAGTACTTTTAATTAATAAAATAACTTTACTTTTTTTGGATAATTGTTTGTATTATAGTGGCTGGAATGGCTGGTACTGCGCATATCGATGGAGACCATATTGTTGTTTCGGTTCCTGAGGCTGTATTAGTTTCTGATGTTGTCACAGATGATGGGATAACTCTTGATCATGGCCTTGCAGCTGAAGTTGTCCATGGGCCTGATATCATCACTGAGACTGATGTAGTAACAGAAGGGGTAATTGTTCCTGAAGCTGTACTTGAAGCTGATGTTGCTATTGAAGAAGATTTAGAGGAAGATGATAGTGATCATATCTTGACTTCTGAGCTAATTACAGAAACCGTTAGAGTACCTGAGCAGGTTTTTGTGGCTGACCTTGTTACTGGTCCTGATGGACACTTAGAACATGTGGTCCAAGATTGTGTTTCAGGAGTTGACTCTCCCACAATGGTATCAGAGGAGGTTCTTGTAACTAATTCAGATACAGAAACTGTGATTCAAGCAGCTGGTGGTGTTCCTGGTTCTTCAGTTACTATTAAAACCGAAGATGATGATGATGATGATGATGATGATGATGATGTCAAGAGCACTTCTGAAGACTACTTAATGATATCTTGTAAGTGAAACAAAAGTACATAATTACTTGGGAGATTTATTTATATATAACCTGGAAAGGTTTTCTGGGATGGGGGATCTAGTCAATAAAAGACACGAGGATAATCATTTTGCAAAATATTTTTTTACAAAGCTGTATTGTTGAGAGGCTTTTTGAACTTGCTCATATTTTTAATTTACTCAATGAAAGTTCATAGCACAATTAGGTAAATTAATGTAATTTATTAATACATTAGCACCATAAGGAAGGTTCAACAAGAACATTAACTGATAAAATTTTTAATGGTAAATATGTATATTTCAAAATAGGAAGTTTATGTTATGCAACCACTGCTTGCTTTTTAATGTGGTAGGTACTGGAGTTGTCAGTTAAGTTTTGCTTATGAATTTAAGTATAATATATCAAGGAATGTGTAATTAATTTTTTATCAAGTACTTGAAAAGGAAATCTTAAACTCAGATTGTATTCTGCAGTTCTCCCTGTGTTTATTTTTTGTCTAAATATGCGTGTGTATATTCTGTACGAAAAATGCCTTGATGTGTTTATTTGAGATTGCTTTATGATGTCTTTAAGACATTCTATCTGAAGGAGGAAGATAGAAATATCTTGTTCTCATTTTAAGTGGTGGGTTTGCCTGAACAGCAACAATAATAAAAATCTCATGATGAGTTATTGATGGAACTTGAGGAAGAAGTAGGTCTGTTCTTTATACAATTTGGAGGGATCATGTTGGAAGTAATAAAAATTAGATAAAGTTCACTTTTTCATGGTGGATTTTTCTTTTCTTTTTAAAATAAAAAAGGACTGATTGGGAAGTGCATCAACAAGTAGAGTAATGTGTATGTGTGCATGAAATGGTGATATGTTATATGTATCAGTGAATTTAAAACAAAACAAATTAGATTTAATTTGTAAATATGATTCTGAAGTATAGCATGTTAACTTTTTCCCTCTACAACCACTTTTGGAGGTGAATATTTACATTGTTTTTAAGGGAATGATTTAAGTCACTAAAAGACTGTGCAAACTGTTATTACCTCTTTTTAAATTGATGTCCATTACTAAAGCAATTCCATATTTATATCTTAACCTGATGTTTAAAAAAACCAACTATGGTTATGATTATATAAAATGGTGTGACAAAAGTTGGTAGCCTTTCTAGTACCAAAATAATATTGTGCCTTTAAAAGAGTACTTGTCAGTGTGCCTGGGTGGCTCAGTCAGTTGAGTGCCCAACTCTTGATTTCAGCTCAGGTCATGATCTCACAGTTCATAGGATCATGCCCCATGTTGGGCTCTGCACTGACAGCACAGAGCCTGCTTAGGATTCTCTCTCTCTCTCTCTCTCTCTCTCTCTCTCTCTCTGCCCCTCCCCTGCTCTCTCTCTCTCTCCAAATAAATAAACATTTTAAAAGAGAGTACTTGTCAAGTCAAACTCTGATATTAAAATAGTTTAAAATTTAGACATTATATGTTTTGTGAATTGTCATACCTTAACATGTCTTCTGTGATTTGATTCTGCAAAAGTTTTTTGTGAAAGAGTTTCTAGAATATTTTAATTCACAGTATTTATTTTTATATTGCCCTATATGTCAAATGCAAAGGACTTCTGTCTTTCTACTCTAATAGGAGTAAACTGAAGATTATAAAGAACATTGTATTGCTCAAATACTGGGATTGCTGTGGGATCATTTTAGGGGAAATTTAGTCTGAGAATTAATTAACTCCTTAATCATTAGTAAGGACAACAACAACAAACGTAAGCAGTTTTTTTTTTATTGTGGAACATGGAATATACAAAAATTAAATATTTTTTTATATCACCCATTTTCCTACCACCCAGTTCTTTGACCATTTTTATAATGATTATTTTACTCAAATTGGAACTAGTTGCTCTTCCTTACCATTTTCATTTGTTTTATTTTATTCTCTTTTGATTTAGTTTTTTCCCTTTTTTCCCTTCATCTCTTAATCTTCACTTCATTTTCTTTACCTCTTGGTTTCTCTTGGCCTTTGAATCTTATAGGAGTGAAGAGAATAAATTACCTTAAAGGCCTCAGTGTTAATTTAAAAAGTCCTCTTCTGTTTTTCTTTCCAAGATAGAGATTTTCAAAATGTTTAAGAGATAAAGTTGAGGACTTAAAACAGACATTTGTCTTATTTCTGAGTCCCTTAATATTTCTATAAGGAACTCTTACCATAGCTAAGTTTTAGAGGTAGGGAATTTGTTTTGTCTCATACCTGAGGTGCATCTGAGCTTTTTCCCCTTTTAAGCCAAACATCACAAATTGTTTATCTTAACAGATGGGTAGGCTCTCCCACTTGTGCTAAGTAACTTGTAAAGTAATGTAGAGTAACTATATCTGTCTAAAATTATCCTAGGTGTGCTCTTTAAAAATAACTAACATCCATAATATCTTTATAAAGGCTTCACTGGAAGAAGGAAGTTCCATTAAATAATGAACCAATATAATGCTTTCAAATTGTTTTTTACCTATAAAATCAGTTTATAGTAAAATCTTGGATTGCAAGTAACTTGTTTTGCAAGTGTTCTGCCAGGGGAGCAAACATTTCTAACAAATTTTAACTTGATAAACAAGCAATGTCTTGCAATATGAGTAGTACATGATACTGAATGTCACATGATCACAACTGAGCCAGTGGTTCTTGAAATTCGCTTTGATATGTGATTACTTTGGATTGCAAGCATGCTTCTGGAATGAATTATGCTCCCAAACCAAGGTTTTATTGTATATTTCTTTTGGGAACATAATCTTGTAAAAAGCAAAATGTCTTGGTATAGTCATTATGGGAGATGTCATCAAACCTCACCAATTTCAAGGGTAAAAAAGAAAAGTTAACACCTTTGTGTTTTTTTTAACATAACAACTTTATTGAGATATGATTCACATGCCATAAAGTTCACCATTTAAGGTGTGCAGTGATTTTTAGTATATTCCACAGCATTGTATAAACATCACCACAATCAATTTTACAATTTTTTCTTCACTCCAAAAAGAAACCCCATGCCCTTTAGCAGTCACCCCTCTGCTACATACCACTCCCCCTCCTCTGGCAACCACTAATCCAATTTCTGTCTGTATAGATTTACCTATTCTCAACATTTCATATAAAGGGAGTCATGTAATTTGTGGCCTTTTGTGTCTGGCTTCTTTCATTTAGCATAATCTTTCAAGGATCATTCATATTGTAGCATGTGTCAGTACTTCATTCCTTTTCATTACTAATATTTAATTATAAGGATAAACATTTTAGTTATCCATCAGTTGATAAACATATGGTGTTTCTATTTTTTGGTTATTATCAATAATGCTGCTATGAAGATTCATGTACAAGATTTTGTGCAGACATGCTTTCAGATCTCTTGAGTATACACTTGGGACTGGCACACCTTTGTAATCTAAATGTTAGTAACTTGTGTTTGTTTTAGTGCTGTGAAATACAGATTCTTTACATATTGCCTGATCTAATAATCTCTGTAGTACATCAATATACTCTATACTGATAATAACATATCCATAATATAATTTTGGTAGATGTAACATAAAAGGGGTGCAGTAAAAAGCCTACTTAGCTTTTAAAAGGAATGTTATATTGAATTTTTAATCAAATTGTGCTATTGAGTTCTATAAAGGAATATCAAACATTAGCAGACTTATCAACAATGCATCTTACTGTTTTATGTTACATTTAGCACCAGTAGAATTCTGTGATGTGGATAATATTACTTGCTATTACCGTCTGGAATGTCCTGTGGGTTAAGAAACAACACTGTGGGACTTGGATATTGCAAGCCTTAATTTGGGGTATTTTTAGTATTTGCATTAAGAGTCTTTGAGGATCCATTTCTAAAATCGCTTGATTGACCATTAAATCTTTGTTACCTTTGTACTTTCTGTAACAAAGAATACAGAATAAATCTTGGTGAAGTAGATGGTTTATCTCTTAAAACTGCATAGTAACATTTTAATAACTTTATAACCTTCTATAATCTTAAAATACAAAACAAGTTTGGTTACTCAATACATTTCAAAGTTGCTCATTCTGAGGAATCTAAGTAGAAAATAATGGATACGTTAAACCATGGATGACCTTAAAGTCTAAATGGAATCAGGATAGCAACAGTTATTTCAATATTTAAAGCAAAAACTATGGTACAAAATTATTGAGAAGTGACCAAAAAATGTGTATTTCATTTCATGAGCTTTAATTTTGTGAATTATAGTTTTAATTCAATTTGTTCCAGAAGTAGCTATAATCACTTTAAACCATTCAATGATAATAAAGCAGTATTTATCAAATGAGAGTATTTTCAGTATTTCATTTATTTACTATAAGTTATTCCAACTTAACAAATTCATATTTTGGACACTTTTTGAGGTTTTGTATATCTTATGTCTTTATTTTCAAGAATGAGAAAACATTTTCTGAAATCTTAAGTTGCCTCTTTTAATTTTTTTCTGTGATGTCATTGCTTTATTCAACATGTTTTAAAAGAGAAGCTATTATTAAATCGATAATATAAGATACTCCATCTTGTTTTTCTTTCATTTTAATCTGTCCCATTGTAAAAAAAAAAATTTCCAGGAAATGCAGTATTAGGGGCTATGTTGGAATGAACATATTTAGTCAATTTATTTTGATTATTTAGGTCCTTTCTTTCATAGACAAACTCTTTGAACTCTTAAATAGTATGGAATAATTTATATTTAATCACAGAGTTGAAGTAGCTTTGTGTTGTAAAAAGAATTTCTGAAATGTGTTTTCCACCATTTTGAAAGGCCAAAAGAATATTTTTGAATTTGCATGTATCAAATTTAAAATGGAGGTAAGGGAAATCTAGACTTCTACCTATTTAGATCTTCTTGAAATTCGTTTTTTAAGAATACTGAATTAATAATTTTTATGTCAGTTTATTCTTTTTTCAGTAGCTCTGGAATTGTTTAGATATAGTCAGAGGCTTTAGGATTTTATGTTTCATATATGATGCTACAATATACATAATAGGTAGAAACAGATTTTCAATTAGATTATATTTCAGTTTTTATAGGTATAGCATTGAAATAAAAAATGGTAGTCATATAATATTTGAAGGAATATATTAATATTTATGATTAAAGAACAAAGTTTATTGATATGTACTTATTGCATAGTTTGTGCATAGTATTCATGTGAAAATAAATGTTATTCTTAAACACTGTAGAGAATAAAAATTTTATGTATACTTAAAATGTAAGTAATACTCTCAAATATTGTTGCTTTACCTTTCTATATGATTTTTAAGTCTAGCATATGTTTGTAAATATAGAAGTATACAAAATTTCTGGTTTGAAGTTGTCTTCCATTGACTCAACAGAAATTAAGAGTATTAAGATATTGTTTTTATAATTTCTGAAAAGGCCTTTTTATAAAATCATTCAGGTGATGTTTACTCTTTTCTCAATTCTAAATTTCATATGCTGATTGGTTTTAAAAATACTGCTATTTAGTTTGGGAATTGTTTATGTGAGCTTATTTTATGAGTACTATGTATTTTTATGTTCTGATTTTTTCTGTTATTAATTTTGGTGTTAGGATTTAACTTAAAATGTTGAATGTAATGGAAGATCATTTCCAAAACCATCTTAATTAAGGCTCTGTGGTTATTAAGTATTTCATATATATAAATTAAAATCTCTGAATAAATTTTTTCTGTAGTTACAATTGTGTAGTATATCTGATGTTGTATATTGTTTTTTCATGAAACAAAGCACTTTCAGTAGTTGCATAATAGGTCATAAAGTGAATACAGTGGATAGGTGATCAACACATTTTATGTTGCTCTTATGACATCCACTAAATGTCAGTTATACTTTTTGTCTAAAATAGTTTCTTCTTTATATTTTACAGTGGATGATGTTGGGGAAAAATTAGAGCATATGGGGAACACACCATTAAAAATTGGCAGTGATGGTTCACAGGAAGATGTTAAAGAAGATGGATTTGGTTCAGAAGTAATAAAAGTGTATATATTTAAAGCTGAGGCTGAAGATGATGTTGAAATAGGTACAAAGACTAATTTTAATTTATTGCTATAATAGTTATGAATGAAAACTTATTCTTTTCTGGTGACTATCTTTTAAAGTGAAGATTTTTAAATTTTTATTTATTTTTTTTAATTTTTGAGAGAGAGGCACAGAGTGCAAGCAAGGGAGGGGCAGAGAGAGGGTGACACAGAATCTGAAGCAGGCTCCAGGCTCTGAGCTGTCAGCACA